GACAGGGCTTTGATTGCTATGACCAAGTCACATCCCAGTACTGAGCAGCATTAGACATACAGGAAGGCTTGCTCCCTGGGCCTCAGTTTCCCTCCTGGATGTAAAAGGTTCCAGTGAACTCCAGAGCACAGTGGGTACATGTTGGTCAATGAAGCAATGTGGGAATCCTCTCACCCCAAAGAAGATTCTAGAATCACTAGCCCAAGCAGTCCTCTGACTGAACACGTCCCTGCTCGCAAAGGGCAGTGACCTCTCGAGATGTCTTCCCGCTGTGACCTGAAACCAGCCATGTGTAACCCTGTCAGTGAGGAGCAGCTGGCCTATGGACATCAAGGGTTAGGTTACAGTACTTTCCCACAGTCATTGGGGAGCAAGATTATTTGCTCTCAGGCCTCTGAGTGCTGTTTTCTTCTTGTCCGTGACATGCCAACTTTATTGTTTTCTCGAGTCTTTAAAGGGGTCTTGTCTGGGTAAGAATGAAGCCAGGGATGCTGGGAAGCCTTGGCTCCAGCCTGAGGAGGTAGCAGTGGCTACCTCTGCCAGAAAGGCTCAGTACTCATTTGGGTTTTTATTGTTGTTTTGTTCTGTTCTTTTTATTTTTTAGGGGGGGGGGCAGCTTAAGCAGTGCATCCCTATGAACTGTGCATGGAGGTGAGAGGACCACCCATGGCCCATGTTCCCCATTGGCCCATCCCCCTGGAATTTACTGTTTCAGCGAGGCAAGATGAAGTGAGCTGCAGAGATCTGTCTGTCTCTGCCTCCCCAGTGCTAGGTCAAACAGAGTCACCAAGGTGGGCTCAGGGGATCTAACCCAGGTCCTTACACTCCCAAGGCAAGAACTAAGCCCTCTCTCCAGCCTCTGCCTGGGGACTTTAAAGGCACAGAAGCCACAGTCCAGGGAACTCACGGGTGGGGCCAGAGAACTCTGGAACACTGCTTGCAGTGAGAAGCAGGCCGCCTGTCATCTCCCACCCCTGTTCAGTGGCACGTTTGTGGCCTCCCCTCCCCACAGCAGACCTGCCACTGTTCAGGCAGCTTCTGGCAACCAGCACCCCAAAAGCGGGTTCTCTAGAGAACTCTATCTCCCTCATTCCTCACAAAACTGAAGAGACTTTCCTCCTAGCTCTAATGAGAGTCAAAGGTTCAGAAAGAGGCAGTAACTTCCCCAGGGACACACAGCAGAGGCCACATGAAGTCAAGTAGGACTCCAAAGCCTGTTTTTTAGTCACTCTGAACTACCCTGGAAAAGAAGACTGAGGCAGGGGAATTACTATGATAACGTTTGTGTTCCTCAATGGCCTAGAAGCCTAGGAATTTGTGTTCCAACTTTGGCTGAGGAGACTGAAGTAAGTAGGCACATTAAGATCCCATAGGCCACAGATAGGCGTGGTTGTTAAAGGCCAGGAAAACCTGTTTGGACCTTTCTTCGCTCTCCCCACCCCCCTTATAGTTTGCTCAGGCTCACCCCACCCTCCACAACAGCCGTAGGCAAGCCTCCCTTTGGTGCCTGTAACCCTGAGTGGAGTGGGGCCAGGCCCTCAGCAAGGCTACTGAGGATACCAGAAGTGACTGCATCAGGGAGACTGCAAATCAAAATGCTTAGTGTGGCCCAACACCTCGCCCTCCTCATCCATGCCCATACCTGCACCTACTCCCAGGAAGATGGAACAAAAAGGAAATCAAGCAGGTTCACAAGTAGGCAGGCTGAGCAACGGCGAAATGAGCAAACCAGGCCCCAAGATGGCATTCCCATTTTATAGCTGAGGAAAACTGCAGATGAGGGGAGACAGCCTCTTACTGGCAAGGCCTCCAGAGACCCCTGAATTCTAAAGTCCTTCTCTTCTCTATGATTCTTTCTGCTTCCTCTGGGTGCCCAGCCTGGGGACTGAGGAACGTAGGTCACTTCTGTCCTCTTGGGCTAGTGTCCCTTGATGGGGACTCTTTTCCTCTCAGGTGGTTACACACAGCTGCACCGGAATATCATTTTATTCTGCACCCTTACTCAGGACACTGGGAAGCCTGTAAAGGCCCAAAGGCAAGGTGATTGGCCCCAGAGAACAGGATGTAGCCATGAGGCCTCTGAAGACTTGTTTTGTTTCACTCCCTTCGGGAACACTCAGAGTCAAGGCTCCCCCACCACCCCCATATTATATACCTGGACTTCTGAACCCACGGGAAACTCGCTGAACCTATCCCAAGCAGCAGACCATGACCTTGGCAGTGTACACTTGTGTCCAGCAAACCCTCTAACAGAATGGGGCAAGTGGCCCATTCTCTTCTTGTCTAGCTGACCCTGGACTTTGCTCAGTGCCTTCCCCTTCGAAGAGCCCCTTCACCAGCTTGCCACGTGAAACAAAAGGCATGTGCATGTGGCAGGGCTGGGGACCTCTGTTTGTTTATGATTGGGAAATGCAAGGTCAAGCCGGGCTGAGTACCCTCCACATCACAGCGCCCGAGTCCGAGTTGGAATGAGAACCCAGGCTCCCTGGCACTCCAGGGCAATCAGAAGAGATAAGAAGTGACAGAGAACAGAGGCACTGTAGAGTTCAAGCAGGCCATCTCCACTCTCCAAGCCTCAGTTTCCTCATCTATAAAACGGTGGGAATGTTACATTTGGGTCCTGTGGCACTCATTCCTCAGTTTGCTTTTCAGCCTGCTGGGAAAGCTCCTCAGCCAGCTTCTCCCTTCCCCCAGCATAAGTTCCAAGAAAAAAAAAAGTTCTGTGAGTCAAGACTGAGGGGGCTGCAGGCATTCCATGTCCAGGGGTCTCGGAAAAGTATTGAATGAGCGTGAATCTTTCTCTCCCGACCTTTTTCCCCCAGAGCAAAGCAGGCAGGGATATCAAAGGCCTAGAGAGAGCAGGACTGAGGAGCTCTGGCTACAACTGGATGTGTGGCCTTGACCTGCTCCTGCCTGTGTGCCTCAGCTCTCTCTGTCCAGTGGGGTGACGGTTTAGTATTAAGATTGTAAAAACAGTGTTGCAGACTTCAGCTGGCAGAAAGGAAGAGACATTTTGCAACAAGTTAGGCAAAATGTTACCCCAAGTTAAGTCATGCCCTGCAGGACTAAGAAAACAAGAAAAGAGGTTGCTTGCTGGCTACCTACCTGTCCTGTGCTCGAGAAAAGCAAGACCTGGCAGTTGCCTATGCCTAGAAGCCTCTAGAAAGCAGCATTTCCTTTTCTGAGGCTTTTTCGGACTTCTGGGCTGTGCAGACTCCTTCAGCACTCCCCGCCCCCATACACACACACAAAAGGGGGATCCAAGGGCTGTCTCTCTGGGAATACCTGGCACAAGAGGCTTCCTTGAACCCTACGGAGTGGTGGTGGGACCGAATGGGTTTATGTCTGGGTTTAGAGCCCTGGTTTAAAACAAATTAGTACTGGATTCAAATCCCGGCTCTGCCATTTAACTGACCAAGTAGCAATATCCTGGCAGCTCGTCTTCCCGCCCAAGTTAGGGGTATTTCACCATAACAAAATCCCTGGCACACACTAGGAGCTCTGTAACAGCTCCACAGATGGGCTGCAGCTGTTTGTTGAGGTATTAACAAAGCTGCTTTCAAAACATTAGTCAGGGTCCCAGAAGAGCTCGGGGAAGGTTCCTGTTGGTGTTTGAAAGGGTTTCTGAGATCAAGAGGGTGTGCATGTATTTGTAGACTTCTGTACCGTCCTGCAAATGTTTGCTGTGGGTAGGCTGTCCTTTGGTACATGGGGTGTATGAGGGAGAGTTGGTTCCTAGAAGTGGACATGAATGGACAGGCCACCAGTCACCTCTACTGATGCAGGTAGCTTGTTAGCACGCGGCTATGGGTACACTGGGCTCTCACATAGCAGAGCTGCAAAAGCCTTCAAGGTTGGCTGTCCCCTTCCATTTTGCATGGAGGGGTTGAGGGTCCCAGCTATTCTGATTCCCCATCCTCTTGTTGAGAATCCTCCCCAAAGGCCACAGGGACACCTACCTACTATATCGGGCTCCGGTTCTGTACCCAGGTACCGTCCTTGGGCCCGAGAGTCCACCAACTGGAACCTTTTAGACTGGAGGTTCTCCAGGACCTGCTCATAGGTCTTGAGCAGGGAGCGGTCCAGTGTGGCTTTGAAAACAGCTGGCTCTGGCCGTGAGGGCTCAGATGTCACCGGGTGACCCTCCTTCAGCCAGTTCCGGAAACCACCATTGAGCACTGATACCGTGCGGTGGCCAAACACACGGAACATCCACCATACTCTGGGTGCATAGAAGGTGCCCAGGTCGTCTCCATCGTACACCACCACGTGTGTGTCGTTGCTGATTCCCAGCCTTCCCACGTAGTCCCCAAAGTGGGCCTCACTGGGCAGCATCATCTCATAAGGCGAAGCCGTGTCCCGGCATTCTTCTATATCAAAGAAGGATGCCCCAGGCACGTGGCGTTCTTGGTACTCTTTGCGGGCCTGGCGGGTCCCGGGAGAATACCATGACGCGTCCAACACCCGAAGGCCGGGCCCCAGGCTGCCAGACCGAATGGACTCAGCCAGCCACTTGGTGGAGACCAGCGCCCGGTAGAGCACTTGATGAACCATAGTGTCAGCTCTGTGTGTCACCTGGCGCGGGTGGGAACTGGGAAAGAGGCTAGAGAGAACTGAGTGCGGTGGGCGGAGCCCGGGAGGCGGAGCTGTTGTCCCCACAACACTTTCCCAGCGTGCAATGGTAACTACACCCAGAGCTAGACTGGGGCGTTTGTGGGATAGGGTTGCACATTCCCTAGGAAAAGCCTGCTCCGCCTCTCCCACGGCCCCAGAGCCCTCCCAGTCCGGTCCCAAGGAGAATTGGTGGGCGTGGCCAAGAGCTTCTGAGCGCTCTTATGGCAACAGCTGTTAGGAGGTGTTGGCTCAGGACCCTGTCTGCAAGAATCGGGAGAACACAGGTACTAGGTAGGGAAGGTGGCCCTTGGGCTTCGAGTCCCTTCTCCAGGGCGAATTGACCGCTCGTCAGTCATTCTGTTTCCGTTCACAACAGCCTGAGTTCTCTGGCTTCTAAAATGCTTAAGTCCGGTGAAGAGGTCCCAAGCACCCTGCCCTGCTTTCTCCACCAGGACCCTCCTCCCCTGGGCCATAAGTGGCCCAGCCTGCGGCCCCATCCTGGGCAGCCCGCTGCATTCACTGGCCCTGGAAGCTGCACGGAAATTCGGCCTTGCGCTCCATAGAAGCTGGCAGGTTCAAACCCGGAGCCGGGAGTGTCCCCAAGTGGCCCGAACCATTACGCTGCTCCCACGAGGGGGAGACTTATCGTGCAGACAGTTGGGACTTCGAGCAGCCTCTGTGCCTTCGCACGGGAACTCTGCTTGACCCTCCTGTTGTAACACTTTTCACAGCCATAGTGACTACTGGAGGCTCTGGGTGACACTGGGCAATGCACAACCCGGCTGCATGGCGCGTGCATCCCCTGCAGTCTGGGGAATGGAAGGTGCAGCCAGCAGCGGCTCGGAGTGGCCAAGGCAGTGGGCCGTGCCCAAGTCTCCTCCCTTTGGCTGGTCGCAGGTTGGTGGCGGAAGGAGGGGGGGACCTCTGAGGGCGCGGGGAGGGGGTGACATGGCGGAGTTGGAAACTCGGGAGCTCGGACCCTGGTGTCTGCTGCCCAACGCGTCCTATATGCTTTTCTATGAGGGAGGGTGCTTTTCGGGAGTGCATAGCGTGGTACCATGCGGGAGTGGAGGAGGGGACACAGTCTCTGAGAGAAGAGTTCCCAGGGCGCCACTAATTTGCCTAAATGGGGGACTATCCACGGCTGCTTGTGACCACCTGTAAATTGGGGTGGGGTAAGAGTCAGTGGGTAGCAGTGGCTGGCTGGGGTTTGGGATGAGATGACCTGGGGCGTCCTGAGAAAGTAGGAACGTTCGAGAGAACCAACAAAACCATTCAGAGGGGCTGTGGTGAGAAGATCCATTGTCCCCTAAGAGGAGAAAGTAGCAGAACACAGTCGAATGAAATTAAACTTTTACTGGCCCCGCCTGTGGTGGCACGGCCTTAACGATCCTGCGGGACCGGGCTGAAACTTCTCCCAACAGGAGAAACAGGTAGATTCAGGAGGTGCCAGGTCGCCTGGTGTGACTAAGTTCAGACTTGAAGCCCACAGTGGTGGGAGCTACCTTGGTTTATCTGCTTGTCCTTGAAGTTTTATGCTTTTTTATTAATTGCCTTGGGCTTCAATTTTTACCACTTCGTTATAAATTTATATAAATGCCAATTGGCAAAATATCTGGAAACAGAGCGTGGCTCTTGCAAAATGGCTGGACAACACTTCAATAGGCTATTCCGTTCCTCTTGAATGCTTTTTCTTGGACTCCCCCCCCTTTTTTGAACACTGATCCTGCCCTGAAATACTGTCACAGTGTGTGTTGCAAATATTGAAAAACTGCTGAGCATTTTCCCAGCGTCCCCTGAGCCTTGAGCTTGACAGTGGAGAAGAGAATGTGCCAGGAGGGTCCAGGTGGGGAGATGCACTAGTGCAGTAGCAAATTTTTATTTTAATAAATAAAGCTTGCCTGAAGTTCAGAGAGTCAAACAGCCACACTGGCCAACCTTACAGACCAGGCTGAAATAACACACACCTTTAATCCCAGTAGCCATACTAGTTTGTCATAGAAACTGGGTGGTGCATGCCTTTAACCCCAGAATTAGAGGGGATTGTAGGACAAGTGTGGATGAATGAAAAAGACCACTAAAAGCTCCTTGTACATAAGAAATGGGAAAAATGGACCCTTCACTTTAGATTGTCTGAGTTCCCTTCATGGGTGTGTTATATAGGTTCACACTAACCCTAGGATGGCTTGGGGCAGTCCTTTGTGGGAATTCTGGCCCACCCAGCACAAAGGAACCTAGTCCCTCTGATTTCTGCCCCTCAGGAACACCCATTAGCCTAACATCTCTGACCCTCTTTTGTGCCACCTGGGATCCTTTGTGAGAATTGTCAACCAAACAGGGAGGCAGGTTCATATGACCTCAGACCTCTAAAGTCCCAATCCCTGGAAGGTTTAAGAATCTGCAGCTGTAGATTCCAAAGCCACTTATGAGAGTAAAAAGGAAGAAATAGCGGGTTGCCACTCCACTGCCCTAAATGATCAATCAAAGAAACTGTGTATAGGGTATAATGGTGGCCCTTCTATATTTTTCTGTTTTGTTTTGTTTTTGAGATAGGGTTTCTCTGTGTAGCCTTGGCTGTCCTGGAACTCACTTTGTAGACCAGGCTGGCCTTGAACTCACAAAGATCCGCCTGCCTCTGCCTCCTGAGTGCTGGGATTAAAGGCATGTGCCACCACTGTCCAGCTTCTATACTCATTTTTAAATCTCATCAAGAGGTGGGTTTTGGAGTCTGGTATGGTGGCATATGCTTGCAATTTCCCTTCTCTGGAAACCGAGGCAGGAGGGGGATGATTTCGAGTTCCAGGATAGTTAAGGATACAGAGTGAGACCCTGGAGGGGGCAGGCGCAGTGCTGGGAATATAGCTCCGGTCCATTAAGTGTTTACCTTGCACAAGGCATGTTGCATGCCTGAAATCCCAGCACTGGGGAAGGTGAGACAGGTAGAGCCCTGGGACTCCGTGACCAGCCAGCCAAGGTGAGTCCCAGGCCATTGAAAGACCCCATCTCAAAAATGAAATAAAATAAAATGACTGCGATTTTGCTTGCGAACCCATCCGACCTCTGAGAATGTCCTCTTCCCTACACAACACACACATACACACACAGGTTTGAAGCTCCAGTAGAAGACACATGACCCAGGAACATGCACACGAACAGCCTGTAGGCATTTGTGCCTACATTGGAGGGCTCTCTGACTTCCAAACCAGAGTTGGGGAGGAAAATTCCCAAGAATGACGGGGGTAAGGGAGCGGTTGTAGTTCACAGGGGGGTCGTTCTACCAGCCTTGGCCTCCTTGCCCTCTGCACACACCCTCCTGCACCCCTACTAACGTATCTAGTTGCATCCCAAACACTGGGATCGGTCCTTAGCGGGAGTCTATGTCTACCTCCTAATGCCGATCCCTAAGTCAAAATGTGCCTCTGCTTCCTCCAGGAAGTCCTGTCCTCTCTCTCCCAGCGAGGCTGAGGTGGAGACCCTCCCTGGTGCTCACAGCTCACACTAAACTCCAGAATCCCTCACTTGTATCGCTGTTTCAGCTGCTCTGGGGCCTGCCAAAGTAAAGGGTCCTCAATGTCCCTAGCATGGGGCCTCGGCTGGCGATCTAAACCCACCTCCCCTGCCCCCATGAGTGCACTGATTTCTGCTGTTTGTCTTTTACTTTTTTGTTCTGCTTTTTGAGATAGTCTTGCTGAGTAGCCCAGGTTGGTCTGGAACTTACTATGTAGATTAGGTTGGCCCTGAACTCTGGTCCTCCTACCTCAGTCTCCTGAGTCCTGGTATTACAGAGGTAGAGCTGCCACGGCAGGTGACGCAGAGCACAGCTGGGAGCCTCAGTGGCTTTCAGGAAAACAGGTGACAGTACCGGAATTCCTAACACTGATCCTTCAACAGTTTGGAGAGAGGCTGCTGTGCCAAGTGTTGTAATATCTGCGGATTAAATGGCACTGGGCTAAGGGTGAGTTCTGGTTATTGTTCCTATTGGACTCCTAACACCGCTCAAGGAATGAGTGAATTTGATTGGCTGTGAAGCTGGGCTACATCTTAGAGGAGGGCTGAAACTTCGCTCTTGTTAGATTTATTTAAAGGCCAATTGGACCTTCCCCTGGCCCTACCCTACCCACCCTGAATACTGGGCTAGGAATAGAGGTGAGGGGCACACATCACCTTCCCCTGGAGCCCCATGGTCATAACGTCATTTGGAGCTGTGTGTTATTAAAGGCTTGGCAGGGTAGTCCCTGCGTGATAAAGCCTAATCCTGACTTCAACCCAGGCCTTTCTGCATTCCTGGACTCTGCTCTGCCTGTGCTGAGGCTCCACCTCCACCGATTAGCACACATGCCCCTGACAGCAGGCCAGTCTCTCGATTCTGTTATCTCCCCTGTCTTGCAGGCCCACAATTCGAGCATCTCGGAGGCCATGGCCGCCCCGCAGCTTTTCCGAGCGTTCGTGTCTGCTCAGTGGGTGGCGGAGGCTCTGAAGTCCCCGCGCGCCTCGCAGTCGCTGAAGTTACTGGACGCATCCTGGTACCTGCCCAAGCTGGGCCGCAACGCACGACTTGAGTTCGAGGAGCGCCACATCCCCGGCGCCGCCTTCTTTGACATCGATCATTGCAGCGACCACACGTCGCCGTACGATCACATGCTGCCTAGCGCCGCGCACTTCGCAGAGTACGCGGGAAGCCTGGGCGTGGGCGCCACCACGCACGTCGTGATCTACGATGGCAGCGACCAGGGCCTCTACTCTGCTCCGCGGGTCTGGTGGATGTTCCGCGCCTTTGGCCACCGCTCCGTGTCGCTGCTGGACGGCGGCTTCCGCCACTGGCTGAGCCAGAACCTGCCAATCAGCTCTGGCAAGAGTCACCCAGAGCCCGCGGAGTTCCGCGCACAACTAGATCCCTCCTTCATCAAGACTCATGAGGACATCCTGGAGAACCTGGAGGCCCGGCGCTTCCAGGTGGTGGACGCCCGCGCAGCTGGCCGGTTCCGGGGCACCGAGCCAGAACCCCGAGAAGGTAACACTCTGGGGGAACCGGCGGAGCAGGGCGTGGGGACAGACTGATGTGCGACCCTACACTGCCTAGCCTTGTGCTGGTCTTTCAAAGCGTACAAAGTGGGAAACCAACAAAGAAGGGTTGGTTGCTGGGTGCTCACCCTGAGCCTCTTGCTTCTTTCTTATAGTGGGGGCCACATTACCTCACAGTTTTGGAACTTTGAGCAAAAGCTGACCACCTTGAGAATCCCGTATGAGAGTGACAGCCCAAATAACTGCATGGCATGCTTGTGGGTGGCCACCGCAAACTAGTAAGAAGAAGCCCCCACCTAGTTTAGGAAGGACCCAAGCTTGGTCCTGACGAGGTCTGGACTGCAGCTCATGAGTTGATGGGGGTGCAGGATGTCTCCAACTGCCACTAGGGTTGCTAAGAGATTCTGAGAGGGGAAGAAGTTGTGTCGCCCAAATTGAATGGTTAGTGCCTCAGGAGAGGGCTAAGCCTATGACATGGACTTCTCCAGGAAAAGCCCTATGTGATGTGGGAAGGGACCCCACAAAGCAGACAGGGCTATAGCCATGCTGGTGTGAGCCTCTTAAAACTCTGAGGAGATAGGTACCTGTGGACACCATGTCCCTTTGTCGTCCCCCTCCCCTTTTTTTCTTTTTTGCTTTTGTTTTTCGAAACAGGGTTTCTCTGTGTAACAGTTCTAGCTGTCCTGGAACTCACTTTGTAGACCAGGCTGGCCTTGAACTCACTACAATCTGCCTGCTTCTGCCTCCTGAATGCTGGGATTAAAGGTTAGACATCCCTGGGTTTAAACAACCTCAGACAACAAATTTTCTTTTGTCTGTACTGAGAGTGTGCTGTTCCTTTCCCTGTCATTGTTACTGTATGACACAGTGTAGCTACATAGCATTTACAAATGCTAAGATAAAATGGATATTGAAGTAATCTAGAGATGGGGGCAGTGGCTCTTGGCTGTAATCCCAACATGTGGAGGCTGAGGCAGGTGGATCATGAGTTTGAGGCCAGCCTGGGCTACATAGTGATTTCCAGATCAGCCTGGACTACAGAGTGAGACCCTATTTCAAAACTTAGGGGTGGGAGAGAACCTAGAGATGTTTTAAATGTTAGGCAGGTGTGTGTAGATTACGTGACAGGATGCCATTTCATATGATTTGGTAATCTGGGGGTCCAGGCACCAGTTCTCCTGCAACTATGGAGCAATGCATGTACTGCCATTGTGCAGGTGAGGGAATGGTTGGCTGCCTTGCCAGAGTCTCAGGAAAGAGCCCCTCTGAATTCAGACTCCTTAAATAACTTAACCGGAGCGAGCAGTCAGCGATTTCCCCACCATTTCTCCCCAGCCTGCTAGGGTGCGGGAGCCAACCATGGCCCTAGAAGCTCTCCTATGCCCTCTCCACTGTACTTTTTAAGTGCCCAGCTCACAGTGCAGCATGACAATCAATACCTAGCCCTGAGTCCATGTCCCAGAGGTGTTTGGTGACTTCAGAGGCTCCTGTCACTTAGAGTCCTGCAGAACAATACTGCTGTACTGTGCTCCAACCCTCGGAGACTGTGGATGTACCCCACCCGTTTTAAACCTACTCAGACAGCAATTTCCCATGGGCTGGCCTAAGTGAGGGTGCCACCAAACTCAATCCCAGGGGAAGAGCAGCACAAGGCAGCTGCTGGTACAGGCTTGGGTTCAGAGCCCTGTCTCTGCTGATACTTTCTGTGTAGAACCTGGCAGGTTACCCAGCTCCTCTGGATGGTGGTCTTTGAATGTGTATGATGAGAGCAGTAAGTAGGAGGGACCATAATGGTGATGTCATGGTGTAAAAGAGCAAGCATACCTAAATGACCCAGCTCAGGTGTTCACATTGCACTCACGAGGTGGAGAGTGGTGTCATCAGCATGTACCTCTCGGCTCAGGCTCCTTCAGGGGTGTTTAGGGTGCCCCACCATCACAATTACTCCCTGGGGATGGGAGGGCGTGCTGAGAACCTAGCAGGCTAGTTAACATGGCCCAGATGCCAGGCAGGAAGGCTGGTTAGCCTATATTTAAAGCATCCCCATTTCTACTCCGTAGCCCCAGACCTAGGGAAGTACACCTGCAATTTGCTCCTCAGTCCAGCAAGGCAGGGTGCATGTTTTGCTGGGTAAAGCTGAAGGTTTGAGGAAGCCCTGACTTGACTTATCTGTAACATCCTGACTCAGTAGCTTGCTCCTCACAAGACTTTGGGAAAGGCTGCATGGCATGATTTTTAGGAGGCCCACTTCATTGAGTATGACCGGCTTACCGAATCTTCTCGAAGCTCGGGAGTGCCATCTCCCGCTCTCCTCTGAGGATAGAGACCCATGTGGACCAGCAGTTTGCAAAGACCTGTACCCTATACAGGGAAACCAAGGCAGAAGTTTCTCACAGCCTCGTTTCAGAATCCAGATGGTCCGGCTGTGAGGTTCCATTTTAGTGGGGGTCTCAGCCCTCCTGTGAAAATGGAACATTGGTAACTTCTGACTGAAAGAAAGACAGAGACAAAATGCACATTGGAGCTCTTGGGACTTCAGAGCCAGGGGTAAAGTGACACTCCTATTTAATCCACACTTCTCTGACTTCGCTGGAGTCATCAGACTGCTTTTTTTTTTTTTTTAAACAATCTCATGTAGCCCAGGTTGGCTTGCTGCATAACTTAGAATGACCTTAAATCTCTGGTCCTTCTGCCTTCACTCCCCAAGTGCTGGGATGATGGGCAAGCATCACTAGAACTGGGTTTTGAGGTGCAGAGTATAAAATCCAAGTCTTCATGCATGCTAGGCAACCCCTCTATTAGCTGAGCCACATCCCCAGCATCAAGACTGAATTCTTCTAAGAATGAAATCTGATTTCCCCTATGGACAGACCAGAGCCCAAAAAAAAAGTCTTCTTCCATGAACACTGAGGCATTCCTCTCTGTTGTCCGAGCTTTGTTGGCCATGATGTTTTGTGACTATTCCAGGATTTCTGGATTCTCCCTGCCTTCCGTGCTCTCAGTCCCACTGTTGGACCCCCTAGGCAGATGATGTCAACTCATCCTGGGAGAAGGCTCCACCTTTCCTTGGCACTGAGGTCTCCACCTTTCCTAGGCACAGGCCCCGGGGTGGGCATCACCCTCCACCCACTGCTAGCTAGAGCATGCTACTCTGTGTGCCCTATTCTCCTAGGGTGAGGGTGACATTTATTTCTTTTCTATAGACTTTGGGTGGCACTAAAGGAAAAGATGCTGCTGGGCGGGGGGTGGGGGTAGGGAGTCCAGGCACTGTCCTGCACAAAGCAAGCGTTCAGCCATGTCAGCAGCTGTTTTGATGGCTATTGCTATTTGTATGCTATAGCCCGAGGGCATTTTTGTCATGCTAGCAATTATCTGGCTATTGCCTGTCTGCCCTGTACACTGCCTCTAGGCCCCCAGGTGCCCCAGGCCATAACTGGACAGAGGTCATGTGTATTGCTCTGCTGCCCCCAAGGTTCACAGTCAGGAAGCCCAGGGTCTTCTGCAGCGGTTCTGGAGGAGTCTAGTTCCAGGAGTCAAACTCTCGCCAGCAAATAGCTGAGTGTATCAACTGAGTGTATCAACTTTGGATGTTACTTAGCTTGGCCGTCTGTGTAGTGCGGGTACCTAGCACTGGTGGTTGGGATAAGATCAGACATTGGAGACACATTTGACATTCTGCTGTGGTGGGAGGCTTGATACCACAAATGCCAGCCACACTAGACATCATTCTTACTGCCCTTCCATGCGTTCCTCTGTGCAGGCATTGAACCTGGCCATATCCCCGGCTCAGTAAACATCCCGTTCACTGAATTCCTGACCAAGGAGGGACTAGAAAAGAGCCCAGAGGAGATCCGACGCCTGTTCCAGGAGAAGAATGTAGACCTGTCCAAGCCCTTGGTAGCCACATGTGGCTCCGGTGTCACAGCCTGCCATATTGCCCTGGGGGCCTTCCTGTGTGGCAAACCTGATGTGCCTGTCTATGATGGCTCCTGGGTAGAGTGGTACATGCGCGCCAACCCTGAGCATATCATCTCCGAGGGCCAAGGGAAGACCCAGTGAAGTCAGGCAGGACACGATACAGCTCAGGTGACCATCCTGGTGCCAGCCTGGTGGCTCCAACTCTGCTTTGCCAAGAGTCCTTCCTCGGACAACTCAGAAGGTGTTTGGGGTGACATCCAAGAGACCAGGAATTCCAATGACTCATAGGCACCCAGTTGGAAGTAGCAAGGCAGAAGGTAGTAAGAGGGGAGGGAGGGAGGCCAGACAGTAGAACAGCCTGCAGGGTGCTAAGCTGGGCCCCTCCTCAGCTTATCTCACTGTTGAAAAATAAAACGCCAAGCACAAAACCGTTGTGGCTATGAGAATGTCTCAGTTTCGTGAGGAGCAGGGGATTCCTGAACGCCAAGCATAGCTTGTTTTTGTTCCTCTTGTTCTGGAGGAACCATTGTTGCCTTTAAGTGATGCTAGGGCCCCAGAGACCCTGTTCCCAGATGCAAAGACAAACTGTCACCTACCTGTAATCCTGGAGTCCCCCTCTGTCTTCTGGGCTCTTCATTTGCATTTTATTTGCACGTGTGGGCATGTGCATGTGTGTTGAGATCAGAGGACATTCTCTGCTGTTCCTCAAACACCGTCCGCCTTGTTTCTCGAGACAGGGTTTCTCGTTGGTCAAGAACTCACCAAGTAGGCTAGCCTGGCTGGCCAGGGATTTGCTTGCCTCTATCCCTGCAGTGCTGGTGTGGCAAGCGCACAGCACTGTGGCGAGCACACACCACCACACCTGGCTTGTTTTACATGGGTTCTGAGGGCTGAATGCAGTCTGTCAGCACTGCGCTGGTTGACCTGTCTCCACAGCCCTGCCTCTGGATATCGGGTAAAGTTAGCTGTGACTTGTCTGGGGTCCCGCAAGGAGCCTTCTACACACAAGTGAACAACACAGGTCCTTTAAGGAGAAAGATGGGCCCACAGCTTAGGAAGCTGTTCCAACCTTGCCAGAGTATTCTGAGAAGGAGCTGAGTCTAGGAGGAGAATCGGGCGGCAAACTCTGTGAACTTTCACTCAAAACTGTTCTCTGAACTCATGGCATGAAATCAAGTTTTTAATGTAATAAAAAATGTCTTAATGGAGCCAGTGAGATGACTCAGAGGATAAAGGTTTGCCACAAAATCTCATGATACCTGAGTTTAATCCCTGGGACTCACAAGGTGAAAGGAGAGGAACAGTTCCTGAAAGGGATCCTTTGACCTCCGCACGTACTGTGCCATGTGCGCATGCGCGTGTACGCATGCGCCACACACAGAGTCCTCTGACCTCCACGCAGGTGCTATGGCATGTTCACATATATATGGTCCTCTGACCTCCAAGAGGATGCTATGGTGCACACGCACACAAACACACACACACACGCACCGACTCTTGCTATGGGTGGACTAAGGGCTTCGAGCCTTCCTGTTTCAGGGAACCAGCCTTACCATTGTCCCAGAATAGGGGTTCCATGTGCTACTGTTTGTATTTATCCTCTGGCAGAGTTGAACATGGGTACCTAGGAAACTCCCTTTGATCTGTCCAGACCTGGGTTACCCTTCCCTGACTTTTCTGCCCCCTTCTGGCAGTGCATGGAATTGAACCCAGGGCCTCATTCATTGTACTGCTGATACAAGACACAGACTTGTTCCGCCCACATGCCCACGTCTTTCCTTGAATGCTCTCCCAGAGGCACAGTACAGCAAGCACCGTGTTGGTTGTTACTAGAACCTTGGAAGTAGTATTGTGTTTTATCTTCTGGGAATAAACTGGAATAAGGCTGTACATAACCATGTGCTTCCAGCAGAACTGGGACTCAGGCCAGGCACCCTGACTCTGAATTCCCTCTCCCTTCAACTCCACAAGACAGGGAGAAGTCAGTAGTAGCAGGGCCTCTAGCTACCACCAGCAAGAGCGCAGTAGGAAGCCCCGCCCCCTGGAGCCCTGTCCCCTGTTCTATGAAGCAGGAAGCCAATTTGCTGCAGAAGAGAGTCAAACAGGAATCTAAGCCCGAGCCGGGGCAGTCTTGGTTTATCTAAGACTTCTCAACCTACAACACCACCACCTCAGGCTGGACCACCCTGCTGTGAGAGCACCCTGTGCCTACGGGACACTCGGCAGCAGTTTGGCCTCTGCCCACTGGATGCCAGTTGATGCCTACACTCTGAGAAAGCACTGCCCCTGCCCCACAAGCAAAGGCCATTTAACAGCAGCAGTCGGGAGCAGCATAGGCAGAGACACCCCCCAGCCCCTCAACTGATGTGAAGCCCCCCTCAAATTCCCTTCCTGCCCGGCTCAGGCAAGCCTTGCTTTCTCAGTTCTAGGAGAGACGTGGGCCTGCTGCCTGCCCTCCTGACTCAGTTCCTACAGAGGAGCTGCTTAAGCCTTCCTTAGTAACAGGAGGGCTGAACCGGTGTAATCTGCAGAAGCGATTCAGCGACTTGGTGCTAGACACAGTAAACACCAAGCACTAGTGTTTTGTATATTTACTTATATTTTTCCCTTTTTACATTCTCTCTCTCTCTCTCTCTCTCTCTCTCTCTCTCTGTGTGTGTGTGTGTGTGTGTGTATGAGAGAGAGAGAGGAGAGAGAGAGAGAGAGAGAGAGAGAGAGCGCTCTTGAGCTCAAAGGACAACTTTTGGAACTCTTTTGGTTTCTTCCATCACGTGGATCCCTGGGATGGAACTCAGGTCACCTGACTTGCCCGCAAGCACTTTTATCCTGTGAGCCATCTTGCAAGCCCCAATATTGTTATTTTTAGAGTACTTTTAGCAGTTAGGCATGTTAAGTTTTCTCCAACATTAGTAGAGAGAAAATAACGACTATAAGAATTATATCCTTGCTTCAAGAGCTTTCAAACCTAGAGCAGCAAAGAAACAATGGCTGACCCAGCTGAGGCTTTTCTGCCCTGGGAAAGTCCATGGTGATTGAAACAGATTCTGAGGAAAGCTGAGCTCAGCCAGGGTTTCCAGCGATGACCCAGGGCCTCCCACTAGGCTGCACGCCAGAATAACTGACTGCTTTCTACAGGGCCTGCATCAGTTTGCATATGCCCTGCCCTTCCTCCCCCTACTCTGAGAGGATCCAGGAAGGAAATTGCAAAGCCAACAATGACCAGAGTTTTGTCTACTAGTATGACAAATATTTGCAGAGCACCCCCACCACACTGAAGCCATTCCCAGCCCTAACTAACCAGCTGCATCAGAATGTTCCATTTCTCTGGACCACTGCTGCTAAGGGTCATAGTCCAAAGCACCCATCAACCTGAGGGTGGTGTTGTGAATCAGGACGGTGCTGCAGGCCTGGCCCCGTGGAGTTGGCCCTGCCCAAGACCTCTCCTCCTGGACCTCAGACTTTCTTCTGAACAATGGAAGCAAGAGTCCTTCCAGACACAGGGGGGCCTTGACACCCACTGGAATCCCCATAGCCAGCGAGCACAGGGGAAGGTGGAGTTACCAGGGGAAAGGAGCAAGCTCTCAAGGTACCTGGAAGCATCACCATTTTAAGCATAAAGATCTTCAGCCAGCAGTGGTGGTGAACACCTTTAATCCCAGCACTTGGGAGGCAGAGGCAAGTAGATCTCTGAGTTCAAGGTCAGCCTGGTCTACAGAGTGAGTTCCAGGATAGCCAGGACTGTACAGAGAAACTTTGTCTCAATAAATAAGTCAATAAATAAAAATGAATAAACAAAAAAATGAATCAATCAATGAATGAATGATTAAATAAACAAATAAATAAATGGAAAGAAATATATCTTCGACACATTTCCCTGACTGGGGTGAGATGCACCACAACCCCCAACACTTTGTTTGATATTTTTGGTGCATGGTGCTGCCTTCAGAGGCTGATTACTCCCCAAATCAAAGGGTCCAAACTGTTAGGACCTGTTAGGACCTGTCAGCACCGGGACCTAGGAACGCTGATTGGTCCCGCTGACTGCAACTGAGCAGGTTTCTCAGCCTTTACTCTCCTCCCTGCCTACTAATGGGTGGGTCCAGGCCTTCATTCAAGGCTACGGCTTAGATCCCTGTGGCCTTCAGCTACCCACAGCCTACAGGGCCCCTCCTCTGCGTCTCCCTCCACCTGTCATCTCCGTCACAGTGCACAGCCACCACCCCGAGTCACCTATGGCTCAGACCTCGCAATGACTTCTCTGAAATTCTCCCTCCCTTACCGATGTCCCAGCAGCAGAGGACCTGCAGAGTCCTACCTCTGTCCCCACGGCCATCACTAAGTAGCCCCATCTGCCTCAACTATGACTATGAATTCCAGTGCACATTCCCAGAAGCCTCCCCTGACTCCCAAGAACTGGAGACGCAGAGGAGGACAGCCCTAAGAAGTGTATTGCCCGCTGGGAAGGGGGTCCACACAGACACACCCTGGAGACCAAGCACTGAAGGGCATCTAAGACTGGACTCAGGGAACAGAGGGGCTGCAGGCCAGCTTCAGGCCAGAGAGGCCTCCATCTTCCCACAGGATGACAGCGCCAAGCATGAATTCTCCGGTCTGTGTCCCTTACTCCAGAAGAGTATTTGGTGAAGGATCTCAGAGCACATTCTCCAGAGGCCCCGTCCCCGTTCCCTGATCACATGAGTGACTTGACCTCTCTCTCCTAATCAAATAGCCAACCTCTAATAGGCTAATTCCTGGTCAAGCACGGTGGTACACGCCTGGAATGTCTGATGACTGAAGCAGGAGGATAGTGAGACTCAGCCAGCCCAGGACAAACCACGAAAAAGTTGGCCGACAGAAGGAAAGCTATCCTTGTATCTTCTTTTCAAGTAATAATTGTATTCTTGAAATACCACAGAGAATTGAGAATGAGTTACCTGAACAATAACTTGATACTATATAAAATTAACGCATGCAAATTGATATTCTACAGACACTCAAGCAATAGAGAATATAAGGGAGAGAAAAACCTTAATTTCAGTAACAATAGTTTTATTAACCAGTTTTAGGGTACGGTGGGCATGGTGGGCATGGTGGGTGTGGTGGACTTGGGGGCAAACTCTGTAGCCCCAGCACTTAGGAGGCTGAGGCGTGAAGACTGAAAGTCTGAAGCTAGCCTGGGATATATAGCAAGACTTTGTTTTACTTAGTTGTTTAAGATTTAAAAATTTAATTAATGTGTATTCGTGTATATGCCACATGTATGCAGATGCCCTTGGAGGCCAGAAGAGGATGTTGGATCCAGTGGGGCTGGGTTGGAAAATGAACTGGGGTCCTCTGGTAGGACACTAAGTGATCGTAAGTGCTGAACTGTCTCTCTAGTCCCAAGACAGACAGGAAGGAAAGAAGGAAGGAAGGAAGGAAGGAAGGA